ATCATGCAACTAGATTTTTTAACTTTTATTGTTTTTTCATATTTTATAATTTTTTTAACAATAATTTTTAGCAAAAATAGAAGAAATCGCACATGTTGTAAGAAAAAAACTAATATCTTTCAAATTATAAATAATTGGGACCCTATTTAAAATTAGAAAGTTGAATATAGCCCAAAATATACTGACATTTAGAAAAATTCTAAATTTGTCGGCTTATAAACCATTTAATAATTTTTTTAATAATTTGCAATCGGGGCCATAAATAAAAATTTTACAGCGCATGCCGTTTTTTAATCACCCTGTATAAAAAATATGTTATACATAAAAAAGGAAATGCATTATCACTACCCTTCAAGTGATAAAAATTATCACAAAATTAATTTTTATCGTTGTTTTCACTCGAAATAATTCCAAATGTTGTGAAATGCTTTTTTTAGTTTTCTATACAATTTTTCATATTCAAGATTAAAGAAAGTATTCTCAAAATTACACAAACGCAATTTAATTWAATTTCACATCATTACTTCTGTGAAATACCGACACGCACATTTCATTATTTCCCTAGACGGTAACAGTTTTGTTATTCCTGAAAATGTTTTTTTTTTTCCAAAACCCGACGTCCTTGTCCCCCGTTCAGTCCCGTAAATGACGTCAATGGAGTCCCCCTAAGCCGGCCCTGGGCGGCGTGATAGCCCCGTGAAAACAACAAATTTGCAGATTTATCTCTTGACTTTGATGCAATCGGAGGCAACCTTGAGGCTGCTCTAGGTCAGGGACCTGCATCCAGTCATACAATCACTCGCGTGCCCCCTGTAAACGCCCCACTCCGCATTCCAAGTGCTCCGAGACACCGGTAAAAATTGAAGGTTATGTGTGGGAAAAATCCACACAATACTACTTAAATCGAACGTAAACGGTTTAAAACGCGACAAACATACATAATTACTGTAATTAACGTGAGAAGCAATAAAAATCGTGACAAAATTTAAATTGACATTTGGTATTATTTTTGACAGATGACAGCTGTGATGATTTTAACAAAATTTGATAAAAAATCGTGCCATACTCACAATTCGATGATCAAAACACCAAATTTGCGTAAAATCGGGTCAAATTTCTGTCAAACAATAATCAAAATTTGGTTATTTAACCAAATTTTCGAGTTTTTACTACAAACAACAAACTTGCGTCACTTGTGATTTTTAACTGGTCAAAAACGCGTTCAGCGGATATTAACACTTGTCACGGGGGTTAAAAAAAGGACACGATCGAAAAAATAATTTTTTTTATTTATTCAACCACGCTTAAAATAACCTTCAATATCTTTAAATGTTTTCCCTAACGTTTCCGGGAGAAAGAGAAAAATGAAAATGACACCGCATAAATTCACCACAGCCATGATGTAAAAGACGCACTGGATTTTAATCAAATCGAGCACAAATGGGAAAATTTTAACTGTAACAAACATGAAAATGTAAGCGATTGACACCATGAGTCCCCCTAAGACGCCTCGGACCTTAACCGGGAACAACTCCCCGATTAGAGTCCACGGAATCACCAAATAACCCAAAGAACTGAAACAAACATAACCTAGGACACAATAGAGGGCGATGTTGTCGCCCTTATCTTTGTGTATACTTAATTTGGCTAATTCCTCCGGGGGAATCACAGTGAGGTACATATAAACACCAGCTATCAGACTTGTAAGACATTGACCTAACCCGGAAATAAAAAAGAGGGGCCTTCGACCCACCCGTTTCGATATTAAAGCCGATATTATCGACATGACAAACCTAATCGAACCTAACAGGACCAAAGCCACGAATTCATCTAAACCGTTGCGAAAATGCCCCCCAATTTCCCGAAACAAATCAACAGCATARAAAATAATAACATAACCACAYGACAATTGCTGGATCACAAAAATGATAAAAAGTATGAAAAACGGTTTATAGACAACAGATTCCTTGTAAAAACTCCAATCAGTTTTTGATTTTCGCCGATTTTGGGCACTCGTGTCCAGCAACCTTAGTTGATTCTCAAAAATCTGGAAAAAACTCTTAAGGCCGGGTTTCACCCCCTCAAAAACCTCACTTGTCGGTCCTTGTAGAGCCACTCGAGGGATTTCGCTGCGTCGTCTGGCTTGTTTTTGAAAACGATAAACCAGTGGGGGCTCTCTGGTAAAAACCACAAGAGGATTAAAGTCCCCAAGATTAGGAAACAGTTAATGGCGGCCATGACACGCCAATGAAACCATAAACCTACAATAAGGGAAAGTCAAGTGAGTCATGACTCGATTCAGTTACCTAAAACGCAAGTGAAAAGTATTCCAAACGAGACAAAAACGCTATTAAGACTTAATAGCATTGTCCTGTAGCTCGGGTGAGTGATTTCACTCACGTAGACCAAAGCTACGGTTGTGAGACCCCCGCTGAACCCGGCGATTATCCGAGCCAAATACAAATGCCAAACGGTTGTAGCCGTAGCGTGGATTATCCACGAAATAGCGAACGGGATTGTAGTACAAATACACAAAGTTTTGCGTCCGAAGCGGTCCATAAGGGGGCCGATGATTACCGAACCCGCGGGCAGGGCTATTGCCACTATACTGGCTAAAAATCACCGGTTAGATCGGTTATAACCGGCTTAAAATCTACCAATCCATGACGCCTCCGATTTTGAAATATGGATGTCACTTGTTTTCTCATTCAGTTGTGGCAACAAGATGGCGCTGAATGACATGTTAACGCCTGCTTGGATTACAAGGCTATGGGCGATACAACATGCTATAATCTGAAATTTAAAATTAAAAAATGCAAAAATCGTTATTTTATTTATTAATCACCTGTCGGAGAGAACTCCGCCATGGTATTGCATAAACCGGTTTTTCGATTTTTGTCGTCAAAATCAAGGCACTCTCGTTTTTCTCGTCATTTTCTTCCAGTTTGATTCGGTGTTCGCGACTCATTGCTAAATAATAGAAAATAGGATTCGCTTTATCATTTTGTTGATTGCGAAAGTGTTACATTGAGACAAAAGCCTGCAAGAAAATTAAATAATCAGTACACAATAAGCCAAACAATTATTTACTTAAWGCGAGGAATTTGCGATGCAATAAATGTGTGAGCGACTTGAATGATAACAATAATGGATTTTACTACTTCCTACTAACAACAAAGGTTTGGAAAAAAACTGTTATATCACTTATACCAACAAAGCTTCAAAATGTAATGTGAACGTCGCTTAAAATTTTAATCCCCTCAATTGCACCATTAGGGGTTATCTTATCGCATTTTTTTGTCTAGTACGTATTGTAATGTCAAATAACAATTCAAATTTGGCGCCTATTTTGACACGAGGCAAATGTCACTTTTTTGAGTTTGGTGTGATCACACTGTATACTGTACATTGTGTTCTAGTGTCATTATTTAAGGCTTGAGAAAAAGAAAGGAACCAAAAATTGGGGTTGGACTCACAATCACGGCTTGCTTGATTGACGGGGTTGGTTCACAGGTGGGGTTTTGGGGCTCATGTGCGTCCCCGGAAGCGTTTCTATGTTCACAAAAGTGTTAATAATTTGCTGRAAATTAAACGGTAACTCAAAATGTTGTTAAACTTGAAAACCATTACAGTTTTCTGTATTATCAAATTTAAATWAAATAAACATTTTGTTAAACAATTCGCATTTGATTAACACAATTTGCCCTAATTGTGTGTTGAAAATTAAAATTAGGGCGCAAATTTTTTGGCACGATTCCCAAATTTGGGGTAATCACCCTGTATACTTGAGAAAAAGGCTGAAGAAAAAATTTGTGATAGAAAAAGGGTTGGACTCACGGTTGTTTCGCAGTTGGGGCTTTGGGTCTCACCTTTGTACCCACCCGGAAGCGCTTCTAAGTTTAGAAAATCTCTGAAAATTTCCTGAAACGCCCCTGGTGGCTGAAAAGCTGAAATCGTGCAGTTTCCTGCGTTATCGGCGCCTTATCAGCTCCAAATATTGTTGGGTGGGGTTTGTCAATTGATGAATTTTAATAAAATTTGTTAAAGTCGTGTGGGGTTTGGTTTGTTGTGGTGTCGAGGTGTTGTTTTTTGAAAAATGCCCCGTGTCGTCGCGGCGTATTTATCGACCGAGTTTTTGAGGTTAGCAATCCTTCCATTATAGTGACAGTTGTGGAGCTAACCTCGTCATAAAATCGTGAATGTTTTCGTATTTGTGGCGGATTTGGTGGTTTTAGAGTGGTCGGGGCGGTGTCTTTGGTGCATGTTGGAGCCCCCGGTGGAAATATGTGAAAACCATCTCGGGGCGAAGTTGTGAAAGTTCATTGCAAAATAATTTTACACGCCGCCATTTTGTGAGTATTTTGTAAATGCAGAAGTGGTTATTTGTGTGGTGAAATGGGGGCCCTCAGTGAGAATCCCGTCTTTTGCAGTGAGATGCGAGCATAGCGAGCCACAAGGAGGAGCATGGCACCTGTCCCAAGACCAGGTAGCCTGAGGGACCCCGAAATCGCCGACTTGTTTTACAAACATGACCCGGAGAAGATCTTTGAGGATCTCAGGGAGATCGGACATGGCTCATTCGGCGCTGTTTACTACGCCAGATGCACCATCACCAAAGAAATCGTTGCCATCAAGAAAATGTCCTACACGGGCAAGCAGAGTCTCGAGAAATGGCAAGACATTTTGAAGGAGATCAGATTTCTGAAACAACTCAAGCACCCAAACACCATCGAATACAAGGGATGCTACYTGAGGGAAAACACRGCCTGGTTAGTCATGGAATATTGTCTCGGCTCCGCCTCGGACATTATTGAAGTGCACAAGAGGCCCCTCATGGAAGAGGAAATCGCCGCGATCTGCGAAGGTGTCTTGATGGGGCTCAGCTACCTGCACGATTTCGGACGCATCCACAGGTAAATGWCAATTTATGCAAAATTTTCAATCAATTAAGTCAACAGAATAGAAAAGTGCTCATTTATTTAATGAATTTTTGCTCAAAGTGTACTGTGACTCTAAAGTTATGTTGGCAACATTGAATAATGTAGATACAAGATACGACACGTGACAATTTTCGTATCTTTTCTGTATTTTTGTAGTTGTCAACTTAAATTCAAAGTAGAAAGAAAGGAAATGACGAATCTTAAATGTTTGAAACTTTGAAATTAAGTTGGTAACATTGTACATACAATGTAGTGAGTGAAATAAAACTTGTTAATTCTCATATCTTCTCTCTCTGTTTTTCAATATCACCAACTTAATTTTAAAATCACAGGCCATTTCGATCAGAATTTTTTATTGCTGTTTAAAATAGTCTCTTTTTATTTATTTATTTTTTTTAAAGATGCAACGAATCTTTGAGTTTTAAATTTTGAAATAAAGGTGGCCACACTGTATAATGTGGTGACAGAAAATATAAAAACTTGGCAATTCTCGTGTATCTCCCGTTCTTGCTCTCTGATTTTCAATATTGCCAACTTAATTACAAAATCACAGGCCACTTCTATCATATTTTTTTATTGGTGGTTAAAGGAGTCTCTTTTTGTTTTTAAATAAATGAATGGTAGTGACAAATTTGAAATATTTTGAATTTTGAAATTAAGTTGGCAACATTGACAGAAGATATAAAACTTTTTGTTATTCTAATGTCTCTATTTTTCAATATTGCCAACTTAATTTCAAAATCACAGGCTACTTCGTTCAGATTTTTTTTTGCTTAAAAGCTTCTCGTTTTGATTTTTGTTTTTAAATAAATGAAAGGAAATCACGAATCTTAAATATTTTGAATGAAATAAACATTACATTTTATTTACAAAATTTATTTCGATTATGTTAACTGATAAGAAGTAAACTAATGTTTAGAACTTTAAAATTAAGTTGGCAACATTGGATAATGTGGTGAAATTTGTCAATTTTCATATCTTGTATCTCTGTTTTTCAATATTCCCAACTTAATTACACAAGCACAGGTTTAAAACAGTCTCTTTTCTATTTTTATTTTTAAAAAGATGAAACGAAATGACGAATCTTAAAGTTTTGAATTTCCAAATTAAGTTGGCAACATTGTATATAAYGTAGTGACAAAAGATATAAAATTTGTCAATTCTAGTGTATCTCTCTTTCCTTCTCTCTCTGATTTTCTGTATTGCCAACTTAATTACAAAATCACAGGCTACTTCGATCATAATTTTTTTATTRATCCTTAAAGGAGTCTCTTTTTTATTTTTGTTTTTACATGAATGAATTGTAGTGACACATTTTAAATATTTTGAATTTTGAAATTACGTTGGCAACATTAACAAAAGATATAAAACTTTTTCTTATATCTTATGTCTCAATTTTTCAATATTGCCAACTTAATTTCAAAATCACAGGCCACTTCGTTCTGATTTTTTTTTATTGCTTAAAAGCGTCTCATTTTTATTTTCGTTTTTAAATAAATGAAAGGAAATGACGAATTGTAAATGTTTTGAATGAAATAAACATTTATTTACAAAATTTATTTCGATTATGTTGATTGATAAGAAGAAAACTAATGTTTGGAACTTTAAAATTAATTTGGATAATGTCGTGACAGAAAATATAAAACTTGTCAATTTTCATACTTTGTATTTCTGTTTTTCAGTATTGCCAACTTAATTACAAAATCAGGGGCCACTTCGGTCAGAATTTTTTATTACTATTTAAAACAGTCTCTTTTTTATCTTTGTTTTTAAAAAGATGAAACGAAATGACGAATCTCAATTTTAAATTTTGAAATTCAGTTGGCAACACTGTGTAATGCAGTGACAGAAGATATAAAACTTGTCAATTCTCGTGTGTCTCTCTTTCTTTCTCTGATTTTAAACATTGCCAACTTAATTACAAAATCGCATGCCACTTCGATCATAATTTTTTAATTGATGCTTAAAGGAGTCTCTTTTTTATTTTTATTTTTAAATAAATGAATGGAAATGGCAAATCTTAAATATTTTGAATTTTGAAATTAAGTTGGCAACATTGATTGAAAATATAAACTTTTTTCTTATATCTCTATTTTTCAATATTGCCAACTTAATTTCAAAATCACAGGCCACTTCGTTCAGAATTTTTTTCTAATACTTAAAAGCGTCTCGTTTTTATTTTTGTTCTTAAATAAATGAAAGGAAATGACGAATCTTAAGAAATAAACATTCCATTTTATTTACAAAATTTATTTCGATTATGTTGATTGATAAGAAGTGAACTATTTTCCAGTCAATTTCGTTATCATTTTATTAATAGACAAATCGGTATCAGATAACCTAATTTTTGTAGATTTTTCATCTCACTTTTTTTTTAAGATAAGCAAATAGGATTAGTCATTGGTAAATAGATTCCCAATTAATAATTCTTGCAAGTATTTACTGTTGATTAGAATTAAGTAAACATAAAACCATAACTTTGCGCCATTTAATACAAATATTTGCTCTCTATTTCGGTGAATTTCGAATTTAACACAGTTTTTTTTAATCAAGTATTGATTTTGTTGCCAAATGAACGATAAAACCACACTATGCGTACTCTTGACCTTTTCTACGCTTATCAGACATTATGCCTACGATATTTTTTTGTCGTTATCACACCACACAAATATTTTTATTTTACTCCTAGTTTATTACGTAACCGATTCTATTATTAATAAAGAAAACATAACAATAAAAAACATAGTAATAAACATCAATTTTCTCGTCCGGAAGTTACAACCATGGGTGGGGCGCTTCCCTCAATAATAGATTGTTTTTTAAATCATGATTCATAAAAATGTTTTTTTTTTAGAGATGTGAAAGCCGGCAATATTCTTCTCACCGAAAACGGAACGGTAAAATTGGCCGATTTCGGTAGTGCTTCGATCAAATGTCCAGCGAATTCGTTTGTTGGAACGCCATATTGGATGGCACCGGAAGTCATCTTAGCGATGGACGAAGGCCAATACGATGGTAAAGTCGACGTATGGTCACTTGGTATCACTTGCATCGAGTTGGCCGAACGCAAACCGCCATATTTCAATATGAACGCAATGGCGGCCCTATATCACATTGCTCAAAACGAATCGCCAACGTTGCAGTCTTCCGAATGGTCTGATATTTTCAAGCACTTCGTCGAGGCGTGTCTTCAGGTGATTTACCCTTATTTTTTTTTTTTTGTGATAATTTTCTTGTAGAAATCACCGGGTAATAGACCGCCGTCTTCGATGCTCCTCACTCACAATTTCGTGACTCGAACACGTAGTCCGAATGTCCTCATCGATTTAATTCAACGTACGAAGGCGGCAGTTCGTGATTTAGACAATTTAAACTATCGAAAAATGAAAAAAATACTCATGGTGGATAGTTGCGAAACGGAAAGTACTATAGATGTTGATGACACTCCCGATGAGCATGCAGGTGGTGATAGTTCAAAAAGTAATTCAGTCACGTCTGAACATTCGGTACATTCAGTGGGCGTGTCGGCGAGTAGCCAATCAAGTAGCACGAATAGTCTCCCAGCCGGTAAGTTAACGAATTTATTTACCGACTCTTAATTTAAATTTCTTAGATGGTACAACGAGACGTCACCGAGGTTGTTTCAATCATGTCGCTGCTGCTGCCGCTGTTGGTGATCATGGAACTAATAATTTCGCTACAATTCGAACTACAAGTATTGTTACCAAACAACAAAAGGAGCATATGCAAGAGGAAATGCATGAACAAATGACGGGTTATAAGAGAATGAGGCGTGAACATCAAAGCGCACTTTTGAAACTCGAAGAGAAATGTAAAATGGAAATGGAGAGTCATAAAAATCAATTAGATAAGGAGTATGAAGCTTTGCTACAGAGTTTCAGTAAGGATTTGGAGAAGTTACAAGCGAAACATCAGCAGGAATTGGAAAGGCGGTTGAAACAGAATGCGGCGAGTGAGAAGAAATTGATAAAAGATATCACCAGTCGACAGGAGAGTGACAGGAAGGCGTTTGATGCACATAGGAAGAAAGAGTACAAGGCGAATAAAGAGAGATGGAAAAGGGAGCTGTCGCAGGATGATTCCACGCCGAAACGGCAACGGGAYGCGACGCTACAGTAAGTCTTTCATTTGGGATTTTTGAAAAAAACAACGAAAATGTGTTAATTTTTAACTTATTTGTATTAAAAAAGAATTGACAGTGTCCTAGTGAGTTGGTAAAGACCTTTATTGACCGTTGAGTATTAAAATTTGAAAAAWTGTATWAGRAAATKGATAGATTGTAGATTAGCATCCCCTGAAATTATTTTCAWCTATACAGCGTGACCCAAAAATAGTTGTTTTTTTAATGAAACGTCGTATGTTTCTTGGCATTTTTTTATTACAATAATTTTAAGTTAAACTTTTGTTGAACGATTTTGCTTAAAGTTGTTTTTTTGACGAAAACGTCCTATTYAAAAATTTATCGCACAAAAATTAAGGAAGCTAGAAAAAGCTGCAAAGAAAAAAGTACAAATTTTAATATTATACATTTTTTTTTTTTTTTGAGGAGCAGACTTTCAAAAAGCAGTTTGTCCAAATTTTCATTTTTGCAGGAGAGAACAAAAACTGTCCTTTTTTTAAGAAATAATTTTAATGTTTTATATCAGTAACAATAAATGTGGAATTTACGGCATTTTACAAAAAAACTTTAAAAACCTTTATCTCAATTCTCAAAAACATGGGCAAACTGCATTTTGAAAGTCTGCTCCTCATTTGTAAAGATAAAAAAAATGAAGTTTATTAAAAGTTAAATAATTTAAATAGAACACCCTATTTATTTTTACATTGCCATTGAGAAAATAAGGTCGTTCTATTTTAAAAAAAACTGAGTTATAGTCGTTTTTTGATCATCATTTTCTAAAAATCATACCAGCCTTGAAATTAGACAGTTGACATTCTTGAACTACCTTAAAAGATACTTTAAACTTTTGGTTATCAAATGCAAATTAATAATAAATTTATTGCAAGGTGTTCAAAACTTGTGATTTTTTGAATGGACTTTTGCAAATTAAAATTTCGACAAAAAGATTGACATATGTCAAAAACTATGRCAGATAAGTACCAACAACCTGGGTATGTTTTACTCAGTATGAAAAAGTGAATTCAAAAGTGTAGTAAAAATTAGTGGTTTCCATTTAAAATTTCAAAGTTAGCGCCCAATTTCTTATAGTTTCGGAAGTTCCACCATTTTGAAAATAATTTAATTGAATTAAGAATGGTCTCTGTGGTTGCGTACAAAATTTTGGAAGTTAAAAAGTTTCTAATGTACGCTCTGCAAAAATAAAATAAAAACTTTTTCAGTTATTTAACTTTTGACTAACTTCAACAATTTTTTAACATTACAAATGCAGAACACTAAAAAACTGTTATCCCTTAAAGTTTGTACTGTCTTCTATGCAGTAATAATCTTTTTTCCCGCTATCTTAGTTTAGTGTTTTAGACTTTTAAAATAAATTATTTCAAAAACTAAGCCAAAACGCCCAATAAAAATATTGTAATTAAAAGCTACATMCAAAAATGCCAAGAAACGTATGGTGATTCACCTAAAAAAACGTAAGTTATTTTTGGGTCACGCTGTATAGTGAAAATAATTTCAGGCGATGCACTAGAAAAAAATTAACATTTAAAAGTCAATAATAGACTTATCAACTCGCTGGGACACTTGTATACAGGGTCGCTAAAAAGTATGGATACAGTTAAATATTATAAAAACTACTCATCAAGACTTATTGAAATTTGATATATGCTTGAAAGTATTTAAATTCCATCGTCTCAGATGTTTATGAAATTTCTATCTCTGTTTGCTCTGAGGATACAAAGCTAACTTGATTTTTTTTTAATGACGAGAACGGTCAAATTTAATATTTTTAAGAAGAGCATTTTTTTCTGAGTTCTGTGATGTAACACATCCATACCCTATTTTAATCAAAACTTAAAAAAAATATATCGAACTAACAAAATTTTTAAAAATGTAAAATTTTGTTAGCCTTGGAAATGTTGTCTTCATCATCGTTAGCTCTTTGCCGCCTGAAGTTTGACCAAAAAATAAGTAAAAGTTAATAATTGTTAAAATAACATCTATTTTAACTGAAAAAGAACACATTTTAATTAAAAAAGCTTAAACACGAAACACATCATTTTTATACTACAAACGATGTTCAAAATGATTTCCATTGWCTTGAGATTTTCTATAAGCTCAGTTTCACTTAAAAGTACCATTGTTAAACTAATTATTGTACACAAGTTTAATTTTTGGCCAATATGCAAGTGACAGATRACTAATAATAGCATTTTCAAAGCTATCTTAGTTTTACTTTTCCAGAATTACATTTTTGAATTTTAATTTTTTTTCCCTTTTAATAAAAGTAAAGGGCATATGTTTACACATCACTGAATTCAGAAAAAAATGTTTTTTTAAAATTTGACTCTTCGTGCCATTAAAAAAATCAAGTTAGGCTTGTATTTTGAAAATATATGATGGTAGAAAATAAAAAAAGATCTCAGATGATASAMTTTAAACACTTCTAACTGTTTCCCAAATTTCAACGTGCTCTGTGAAAATATTTAGCTGTATCCATAATTTTGTATTTCTTATTTATGTATTTTTATGATGAAATTTTTTTCAGGACRCATAAGGATAATTTGAAGCTTGTGGACGCTCAGGACGAGCAGCGCTTACTCAGATGCCAAAAAGAATATTTAGAATTGGAAGTTCGCAAATTTCGAAGAAAAAAACTCCTCACATACCATAACTTAGAGCAGGATTTATTGCGTCAGGAATTGAATAAAAGACAACAACAATTGGAACAAGCCCACATGATGCTCCTTAGACATCACGAGAAGACCCAAGAGTTGGAATATCGTCAACAAAAAGCCGTACATGCATTACGCGAAGAACAGGTAAAATAGTACCACTTTGAAAAATATTAATCAACGATTTAATTGTTTTAATTCCAGGTCAAGAACCAACACGACACCGAACTGGCGAACCAATCYGAATACATGAAACGTTCCGAGCGTGAATTGCGTAAAAAACACGCCCTCGAAGTGAAACAACAACCAAAGTCGTTAAAACAGAAGGAAATGATGGTTCGTAAGCAATTTCGGGACACTTGCAAAGTCCAAACGAAACAGTACAAGGCTCTCAAGGCGCAAATCCTCGCGAATACGCCGAAAGAGGACCAGAAGGCTGTAATAAAAAAACTGAAGGAGGAGCAGCGGCGGAAGTTGGCCTTGTTGGGTGACCAATACGAGCAAAGCATTGCTGAAATGTTGCAGAAACAGTGCTTGCGATTGGACGAGAGTCAAGAGAGTGAGTGTCAACAGATGAAGGAGCGGTTGCATTACGAATTGGAGATTTTGATGGCGTATCAGAGTAAGAATAAAATGCAAGCGCAAGCGCAAAGAGACCGCGAGAGAAACGAGTTGGAGGAGAGAGTGGCGGTGAGGAAGTCATTGTTGGAGACAAAGATGAATTCCGAGACGCAGAGGTTTCTCGAGGAGAGGGCCGAGAGGATAAGGATTTTGCATGAGAGACAAGAGAGGGATTTGGAGGACTTTGATAATGAGTCGGTGCGACTGGGGTTCAGGTAATTGAGGGGGGAAATCAATAATTGTGTTATTTGATCGATTTGTTGCAGCGCTCTGGCGATAGCAGAGATATCACGTGAGAATTACGACGATGATGGCAGTTTGTCCGGTTCTATGCTAAGTCTAGCTCATTCCAATAGCTCTACGAGTTTTCCACCCGGGTCGGTGTAGTAACGTTCATTTTGCCTATCAAATTAATTTTTAATCATTAAGTGTAACTAAGACTAACAAATACCGAACAACTGGTTGGTATTTACGCTTAATTCGAGCAATAATAATAACGATCACACGGCCAGGAGGGCGACTCAACGGTGAGGGATATTATTATTGTCCTATTGGTTTCCTTGTCTTTTTTGATAGCAGTATTTATTGATTAAATTATAGAAGAAATAACTGTATATAGTTTTCATTCTTTTCTTTTTAGTCAATGTATTTGTTTGATAGCATGACAAAATCAAACTGCTGTTTCTAGGGACAGTRTTTAGTAAAGAATAGTGCAATTTATCTCCTAATTTCGTTAGTATTTAACCACACATCACAAATTTTCGATGTTAAGATTGTGATAATTATAATTCTGGTTACTCATGTAAATTCAGCCGTTTTGTTTCTTCATGTAACAGTTGCTTTTAGTCAGTCGGTCGCTAATTATCACGGAAATGTACATACCTATATTTACCTGTACTGAGGTTAGCTGTATGAGCAACGATTTCGTTCGGCTGATAACTATTTATTTTTTCGCTGTGGCTACCAATAAAATATAACAAGATGTATTTTATACGTAAATAAAAATTATTGCTTTAACTGTTTTGCACCGACTTTATATATTCAATTCAGTTCACAATAGTAATACGTTTTACTGTGTTGGGGAGAATTCAGTCGGGACCATAATCCTGCAGTGCATTTCCCTGATCAATGGCACCGTGTAAGCCACGCATTCGTCCCATCCTGGGGACCTCCAAGCGCTCTCCCGAGTCTCCTTCCTCTTATTCAAGTCCTCGTAACCTGCGACAAGTGCCACAATAAAAACGTGCTCAGAATGCTGCGAAAATTTCATGAACGTATGTCTTGTCTAATGATTTCAAAAAATTGACTGATTTTAATTTAGCAACTATAACTGTCAAATATAGATGCAAAAATTACATCACTTTCGACTTAATTCTGTACTTTTTCGGGTTATTTTTGACATCAAATAATTACATTTTTAACTGAGAAATGTCTTAAATCTAATATCATGAATTGAAGTAGCAAAAATAACACCATTTTGCACCTGATTTGGGGATTTTTCGGCTTAGTAACGAAACTTCGAAAAATAAACATGTTTCTGGCTGAAAAACGTTCTTTAAACACTCGATAAAAGCATAAATAATACAATTTTTAACCTAATTCGGTGATTTCTTCGATATTTCACGGAAAAACTTGCATTTTTTTTCGGTATGTTGTAGCGAAAGAATTTGAATTTTTGGTTAAAAACACGCTTAAATTTTGCGAAATAATTGCAAAAACGTTTTAAAACCCTGTTGAAAGACAAAAATAGCATTTCCCATCTAATTTGTTGATTTTTTGGCTTAATAAAGAAACACTGAAAAATAAACATGTTTCTGACTAAAAAAACGTCCTTAAACAAACACTCGATAAAAGTATAAATAATACAATTTTTGACCTAACTTCGGACTTTTCTGTATTTTTAGCGATATTTCGTGACCAAAAACTTGGGTGTTTTAGCGAAAGAATTTGAATTTTTGGTTAAAAACACGCTTAAATTTTGCGAAACAATTGCAAAAACGTTTTAAAACGCCGTAGAAAGCAAAAACTTGAATTTTTTCTTGATTGTTTTAGCGAAAGAATTTGAATTTTTGGTTAAAAACATGCTTAAATTTTGCGAAACAATTGCAAAAACGTTTTAAAACGCCGTAGAAAGATAAAAATAACATTTCTCACCTAATTTTTTGATTTTTCGCTCTGTAATTACGACCCTAATAAACGCTATTTGTGATTAAGTACAAAAAACGCTTAAAAAACTCAAAAATAAAACCAATTCTGACCTAGCTTTGTGATTTTTCAGTTGAAAAACGTCCTAAAACCACCGAAAAATGATAAAATAATATAATTTTTACTCAGTTAGGTGATTTTTTGGGCATGTTTTGGTGAAATTTCGCAAAAAAATTGGAAAAACAATTACTGAGATCAAAAAGTTCAATCAAATTGGTGTAGACAAAAGATAAAACGTCTTAATAATAATAAAAAATGCGCAAAAATCACAAAAATACCATCATTTTCCACTTAATTTGGCGCTTTTTCGGTATGTTTTAGCGAAAGAATTGGAATTTTTGGTTAAAAAACAGCTTAAATTTTGCGAAATAATTACAAAAACGTTTTAAAACGCTGTAGAAAGACAAAAATAACATTTTCACCTAATTTGTTGATTTATCGTTTATTGTTCCCTAATAAACGCTTTTTTGTAATTTAAGGAAAAAAAAAACGCAAAAATAAAACCAATTCTGACCTATCTGTGATTTTTCACTTGAAAAACGTCCTAAACTCGTCGAAAAATGGTAAAATAATATGATTTTTACCCCATTTTGGTGATTTTTGGGCACATTTATTGAAATCTCGCAAAAAAAAATAGGAAAAACAATTACTGAGATCAAAAAGTCTTATCAAATTGGTGTAGGCAAAAGATGAAATGTCTTAATAATGCAAAAATTACAAAAATAACATCATTTTCCACCTAATTTGATGATTTTTCCGTATGTTTTAGCGAATGTATTTGAATTTTTTGTTAAAAAATACGATAAAATTTTGCGAAATAATTGCAAAAAGGTTTTAAAACGCCGTAGAAGGACAAAAATAATATTTTAACCTAATTTGGTGATTTTTCACTCTGTAGTTACGTCCCTAATGAACGCTTTTGTGTAATTAAGTGAAAAAAACGCAAAAATAAAACCAATTCTGACCTATCTTTGTAATTTTTCACTTGAAAAACGTTCTAAAATTACCGAAAAATGGTAAAATAATATAATTTTTACCCATTGAGTTGATTTTTGGGCATGTTTTAGTGAAATCTCTGGAAAAAAAATAGGAAAAACAATTACTGAGATCAAAAAGTCATCTCAAATTGGTGTAAGCAAAAGATAAAACGTCTTAATAATGAAAAATGCAAAAATTACAAAAATAACATCATTTTTACCTAATTTGGTTATTTATCAGTATGTTTTAGCGAAAAATTTTGAATTTTGGGTTAAAAAAAATACGATAAAAGTTTGCGAAATAATTGCAAAAACGTTTTAAAACGCTGTAGAAAGAAAAAAATAACATTTTCACCTGATGTGGTGATTTTTCGCTGTGGTTACGTCCCTAATAAACGTTTTTTGGAATTAAGTAAAAAAACAAAAAACGCTTAAAAATAGGCAAAAACAAAATGAACTCTGACTTAATTTTGTAATTTTTCAGCTGAAAAACGTCCTAAAACCACCGAAAAATAATATCATTTTGACCCAATTTGGTTATTTTAGGCCATGTTTTAGAGAAATCTCGCAAAAAAATAGCAAAAACAATAAAAATGTCATAGTATTTGTCAAAGACGTCAAAACTATTGAACTATTCAATACTAAGTCAATGTTGCCAAACTAAGATTTGAAATTGAACGCCAACTTGACGATAGAACAATGACAGATAAGTGACGACGTTATTCAAGACATACGTTCAAATTTCCAGAGCACTCTTGATCCCGTTTTACTTACACCAAATGTGGTGCACGTTGTAGAGCCTCCCGATTTGGGAGAAGAACCCAGCAAAGGCCTCGTCGTTGTTTTGCCGGAAATTGATAGCCCTCGCCCAGTTGTTGCCCCACTCAATCATGGTCCCAGGCTTCAGGGCRTAKGACCGTATCTCGTATATGTTAYGGGGCTTCCGRAGCTGGATTTGGGGCCAATAACTGAACGCTAGAAGATACTGCAAGTGTCTCGAACGCACGACTCTGCCCTGATCCTCCGAGATTTTCTTAAACTCCTGAAACGGCAATAACAACCCCCGTTTCAAGGCCAATTCAACTTACATCACTTCTGCTGATTATGTTGTTGAATAAGTCGATTTTCTCGTAGCCCCCTGTGAATTTCCACAGATGCAAGGCCTGGTCTTGGTCCCCCACATTGACGGTCCAGGACCCCACCAGTTCCACGGCGGCGGCGAGCGAGTTCTGGGCTTTGATAAAATCGACCGTTTGCTTGCTGAAATGAGACACTTTAGGGGGGTCTTGACCGGTCTTGGGCCTCACATTGTGTTCAAATAAGCCACTTTTGAGTCAGGCCTGAAATTGTGTGTCTGCAGGGCGTAGATTATCTCCTTGTCGCTCAACATACGACTATGGGACTCTTTCGTCGGCTCGATCTTTCTCACGAAGATTTTCGAGAGCCATGCGTCGCTTTTGGGGGCTGTCGTCGCAAATGTTCTGAAAATTATTTGACATTTAACGCGATGCGAGATTGTTATCTCGTTGCTACCTGAGATTTGGAGGAAACTTGGGGAGAATTTTCAAACTTGCCATGTTTTTAGCAATGTGAGCTATTTTTGGATTATTTTTCTGTTTTTAAATGACATGAAGGTTATCAGTTACGAATTGATGTATTTTCGAGCATCGTCGGCACTCGGAGTGGGACTAGGGGGCGCTACCTGTACCAAAACAAGCAATAAAATTAACTTGGGCGAAAACACAACAAAATCGATGCAGGTGGTAAAACCCCTAAGGACAAGAATTTCACTTGACTTGCGTACCCCCTTAATGGCATTTTCCGCCAAAAGAGGCCCCACATGCCATCACTGACACACAATTACGCAAACTTCACCAGAATTGAATCGAAATAACCTTAATATTACAGAAAACTGTAATTATCAGTGACTTTTTTAAGTTGGCAGTAATTTTACAACTTTAAAATTGAATTAAACCATTGTAATTAATCAAAACTGAAATGATTTAGAACCTGTTGATGTTATTACGGTCATAGGAGACTTCAATTAGTCCTTGAGCCGTAAAACAGCCTTTTTTTAATCAACCTCCCAACCCAAAAATCCCTAAGTCGTGTCAACGTCAATCTCAAAACAATAATGTAATCGCCTAAAAACCACCGAAATTGCCAATAAATCACAATGATCGGTTTTGTAACCTTTATGTRAGTRTACCTGGACCTGTAATTAAGCCCYAATTTTGGCTAAAACTTATTTATAACAATTTTTTATAAACCTAACCTCACTTTTTTGTAGAGCTTCTCTTCTGTATTCCACCGATTTCCTCCTATTTATCTCCTTAAGCACGTTAATACTGATCGGAGTCGTCCTCCCCGTGATTTTCCTCTACTTGCGTGCAAAATACCACCGCCAGAAAGCCAAAAACAAGTCGTCTAAAGTCCAAGTGGGGCTTTTTCACCCTTATTGTAACGCCGGTGGGGGCGGTGAGAAAGTCCTCTGGGTGGCATTACAAGCAYTGCAGAAACGGTAAYTTTTTAGTGTGTTTGTAGTGTTATTTAYCACCGATTTTAGGTACAAAAATGCCGAWTTTTTTATTTACACTGGGGACATTGAAGCCACCCCTGGAGAGATTCTAGAAAAAGTGACTAAAATCTTAAATGTGAAAGTCGATAAAAATGTCAAGTTTGTTTATTTGACTCGTCGGAAGTGGGTTGAGGGGGGCCAATACCCCTATTTCACGCTTCTGGGGCAGGCTTTGGGGTCTGTGTATTTGGGGTTTGAAGCCCTTAATCAATTAGTTCCAGGTGTGTTCCCTCTCCTATCATTATAAAATAGTAAATTGGTGATTTTTAGACATTTATATTGATACAACTGGGTTTACTTTTACTCTCCCCATTTTTAAATATTTGGGACGKTGCAAGACAGGTTGCTACATCCATTACCCCACAATTACCAARAAAATGATGTCTCGRGTGTCCAACCGCCAGGCACTTTACAACAACCGGAGTTTGATAGCCAGGAGCCCCATTTTTACCCACGCGAAACTTCTCTACTACCGGCTTTTTGCATGGGTATTTCCCCTAATTTCAGTTTAATTTTGCTCAATTTTACCATTTTAGTTGTATTGCTTGGCTGGTCAATGCTCTGAGACAACTCTAGTCAACTCAACCTTCACTTTAGAGCACTTGACGGAGCTCTGGAACCGCCCCCTTCACCTCGTGTACCCCCCTTGTGAAATAGATCACTTGAAAAAAATCCCACGGGCGAAGGAGCGCCCCCGGAGGATCCGCATCCTGTCTTTGGCCCAATTCCGGCCCGAGAAGGACCACCCCTTGCAACTCCAGTCGCTCTACGAACTCCGGGAGATTTTCCCCGATTTTGAAAATGTCACTTTGGTGTTGTGTGGGAGTTGTCGCAACTCTGAGGACAGCACAAGAGTCGCCGAYTTGAAAGATTTAAGCAAACATTTGAGTTTGGAGAATAATGTTGAGTTTAGGGTGAATTTGACGTATGAGGAGTTGTTGGAGGAGTTCCAAAAGGCGTATTTGGGGGTGCACACGATGCTGGATGAGCATTTTGGGATTAGTGTAGTGGAACAGATGGCAGCGGGGTTGATTGTGGTGGCACACCGGTCAGGGGGGCCCTTGTTGGACATTATTGAGACGTCGGAAGGGTCCCGATTGGGGTTTCTGGCCACCACCCCCGAGGAGTACGCCCACGTGATCAAGTATATCTTGACAGGGGGCGAGGAGGAGGTTTGCGCGATAAGGGAGAGGGCGAGGGCGTCAGTTGATCGGTTTAGTTGTGGGAAGTTCCAAGAGGAGTTTTTAAGGGCCATTGATCCGTTATTTAAATAAAGGATTTAAAGTTTATGTGGTTTTTTATTTGTAATTTGAATTTGGCGCGTTGGTGGTGGGGGATGAAGTGTCCGCTAGGGGTCGCTGTGGTTTGAAAGGTGAAAGAAAGGCATATGGCGTACGTTTCTATTTTTGCTAAAATCTCAATAAAATTAAAGTGAAAAACGGTTAGTGTTGTGCATAGTTGTGAGCAACAAATTCAAGATTATTTCGCGTTTATTATCCAAATGTTTGACGGCAAAAAAATMCGGTGATTTTCGGTTTGTTTACGTATGTGCGTATGTTGAGTTTTTTGTTGACGAATTATTAGAAAAACGGACTGTGATATTAAACTTAGTTGTAACATAGTTTGATTTCGTAATTAGCTCCTCGATTTATTTATTAATATATTAGGGCCGATTTAGTGCGTAAGTGATTCGAGAGAAAACCCAACACAAAGACTGATTTGGACGAATTTACCAAAGACAGAGACAGTTTGTACATAAATTGTAGTTTTTTTGGGATGTCGGTGACCGAAGAGGCTTCGGCAGCCCCTGGAGAAGCCCCGCCTGTGAACGGTAAGTGGCCCCAAAATTGCTCAAAACCGTTCATTGTTCCGTTATCACGGCGATAAGGGGTTTGGGGGTTCACWAGAAAGGGGGGAGTTACGCAAGAGTCGGAAAATTTGAGTTTTCTTACYAAATTGGAAAATAATTGGGAGGCGTTGATTAAATGACGTAACTCTTTGTTTCAAAAACTTTGACATTTTGGCACACTTGATTCAAAAGAAAACGGAATTTGAGCCGAGATTTCTCCGTTATTTAATCATCAAACGGCCTCAAATTCCAATTTTTCATCGCCTTCAGAAACAACATTGTATTTAACGTTAAATAGATGTTGCGACACMTGTTCTTATTATAAATAGATTTATTATTATAAGAGGTGCTAATTAAGTGTAGTTATTTAAGACATATAAAAAAATACCCTTAAGCACATCAGGAACCGACCTGACTTAAGCGTTAATCAACATTTTGTCTTTCTGTTTTTATATTAAAAAAACTGTTTTTTTTTTAAATCTCTAAGTGGCTTGTGATTTCAAAATTGGGTTTGCTATACTGTAAAATAGAGACAGAAGATATGAAATTTGACAGGTTTGATCTTCTGTCTTTACATTTTCAATTGTTGCCAAAATCACAGTCATTTGATTTAATTAAAAAAAAGATTCAGTTATAATTACTGCATTTTTTTATGAGATTTTTTTTAATTTTTTATTTTTCAAATAAATTTCAATTGTTCATATTTACGTTAGAATATATGTTTAATAAAAAAAATATTAATATTTATTGCATTTTTTTCTTTTATATTTTTCATTGTTGCCAACTTAACTTCAAGATCGCAGGACACTTGATTCAATGAAAAAATGATAAAAGATTCAGTTATAATTACTGCATTTTTTATGAGAAATTTAATTTCAATTGTTCATATTTAGGTTAGAATATTTATTTAGTCTTTATTTGGGCAAAGTTTAGCCCACTATTTATTACTATTTTCTAAATGAAGTTTTTATTTTTCATTTTCAAAAGAAAATTACAGAAATTGCAACAATAGTAAATATGAAATTAGATATGCTATCAATGTTGCCAACTTAATTTCAAAATCACAGGCCCCTTTGATCGCAACATTAATATTATAGTATTGCCACTGTATTGCTATATATTTTTTAAATCAGATACTTATTAACAATGAAAAATTTTTGAAATTTGACAAAAGCCTATTCAAAAAAAATAACTTTTTTGATGGAATTTTGCAAAATATGTTGTTTTTTTTTGTTAATTTTTAGTTACAAAAATTGGAATTCGATGTTTAGCTGTTCCAAATTTTTCTAATTAGTGGTTTAGTAAAAGAATTCTGATCAGGGTTGGCTGTGATTTCAAAATTGGTTTTCTGTCTTTGCATTTTTCAATGTTGCCAACCTAATTTTAATATTGCAGGTCACTTGATCGCAAATTAATTTATCAATTTGTGCACGATAATACGTCAATTGTTTTTGAACAATAATAATAATAATAACACCAACGCAAGAAAAAATAGCATACAAATCTCAACTTTTGACATTGAAGGTAAAATATTAACGTGAACTAGCATTTTGAGAAAAATATAATGTGAAACATAATAAAAATAAATAAAACAGTGTTGCCAACCGAATTTCAAAATCATAGCTTACTTTACAAATTCAATTAAATTCATGATATTACTTCGGTTAATATTTATTCGATTTATTCGACTTTTTTGAACTTAAAAGGAAAAGCCCAATTTTTGACGATGAAGTGTTTTAGATGTAATTTAGCACTAAATATCACACCTTTTTACTTGTTTGAAACCTTTTTTTTATCAAATCTTTGATTGTTTTAATACAAGATTTAAATATTTGAAATTCACCAGTTTTTAAAAGTATGTTTGTAATTAAAGATTATAGAAATCTATTTTATTTAGTGTTTTTATCATTTTTCAAGGAAAAAATTGTTACATACCAATTGAAATTGATTGCGAAATATGAGATATTTATTGTCTGAAACTTTCAATAAAATTTTCAGTTCTATTTTTACGAACTGTTATCAAAAACTGTAACAACTATTACACCAATGTTTATCAGTAATAATATGATATCTTCATTTTCCTCTTATCGTTTATTATGTTTTACGGAATTGCAACAATAATATTGATAGAATTTTATACCTACGTCACTGGAAACTTGTCCTCTAAGTCTCATTTTTATCTCCCTAACTTTTTTTTTCTTTTTCACACCTCGACACTTTTTCCAGTCGATATTTATCAGGTGGTGTCGCCATTGCTTGATTTTGTGTCGTGGCTTTTTAAATTTGAATAATGGCAAAATCACGAATTTTAAATAATAAATCGAATGCAACTTTAGGCAAAAAATCAACTAGAATTAAGCACGTGTCTTGGAGTAATAATTTTTGTAAAAAAATATATTTTTTTTTTAATTTCCATTATGCTTCTAGGGGATGAACAAGGTGCTTGTTTGACCGGAAATTCTGAACTTTCGGATCCGGCAATTTTGGCCGTAAATCCGAAATTTCGTTACGAAAAAGATGAATTATTGAAGTTACGTGATGCTCCATTGTCTCAGCGAAAACCCGATTTTTTGGACATCAATGAAGTGTAAGTTTATCACAATTTTTTTAATGTATAAATCAAACATTTTCTGTATTTAGTTCGCCGACTATTTGGGATCCGACTCGCTGGAATTTCGATAAGAAAAAATCCGATACTCCGACTGAAAATGGCCCAAGAAGTGTCGATGATCATAGGGTAAGACTTAAAATTATATACAGAGTGTATCAAAATAATGATAATTTAGCGTCGTCCTGGTGATCCACGTGAACGCATCCGAAAAGAAAACGATGGAATTGTATTAAGTCCTCAACGTCGAAGTTTTAATTCCGGTTGTTGTGTTCCGGGTCGTGAAACAAGAACAAATACCACGAATCGGCCTCATAGTCCTTTAGGAAAGAACGAATCGCATTTGAGTGGTGTTAGAGAGATACAAACAAATAGTAGAAGAATCGGAAGTGGAAGAATTTTAAGAGATTCCTGGGATTTCAGTGAGAAACAGGAAAATGAAACTGAGTACAATTTTCGACCGCAACAGAGAAATGAAAATCAGGATAGGAGGTCGTTTGGGAGAGATTTCGATGTCGGGAGGGACAAGGACAAGGATAGGAGGAGTGGGGGAAGGTTCAACGAGAGGAGGAGGATCAGTGGAGGTAAATATCAATTTTTGATTTCAAAAAAATAAAAATAAAAAAACGTATTAAACACAATACTTTGACTACTTTGTAGAAGTGGTATTTAAAAATAATAAAATAAATTTCAATTTTCCATCTTAACACATTATTTATCTTGATTGTTACTCTAATGATTATATTTATTTACTTGAGCTGTACAATTGTTCAATTTATTGTAAATTTTATATAAAAATTCAAATTGTTATTCACCCTTCTTTGTTTTTGATTTATTTTTTTTTCTCTTGTTTTGTTAGGCGACTCGCGTGACGAGGAGCCCGAATGGTTCTCCTCCGGTCCGTCATCTCAAAACGATACGATCGAATTGCGCGGTTTCGACGAATCGGATCGTCTCGGCAAGAAGAAAATGTCACCAGCGCAAACAAAACGAGCTCGTGATTGGTTCAAAAAGAAGACTGAAGTGACAAGTGTGACTGAAGAAAAGGAAGAAATGAATGAAGTTGGTAATGGTGGTGGTGGTGGTGGTAGATCAACACCTACAACACAAAGCGGTTCAAGTGATACAAACGCCGGTGAACAAACGAACGAAAGTGGCGAAGGTGACGGCAAACACAATCAAGAGAAGAATCTAAATGATCAATCGTCGATTTTTGAAGATATTTTGAAGTCGGATAGTATCCCCGGATTGCCGGGGTTGTTAACAGTGAGTTGGGTTTTTGTAAAAAAAAAATTTTTAATTAATTTTATTATAGAATGGTGTTGGTGGCGACGGTGACGCTACCGGGAAATCCCGCTTCAGTAAATGGTTTTCAGTCGAAAATACTGAAAGTCGACGTTCTTCCATGCAAGACGAGCCTATTTTCAAGAATTTATTGAAGGATTTGAACGAACCAAGTGTGTCGATTCCGGGTGATTCAAGTTCGTATTTCGCCCCCATTTCGCCAGCTGCTAACACGGGAGGAAGTCTAGGGAGTGCCACTGGGGCCAATGCCAAATCTATCAATATTATGGAGATGTTGCAAAGGGGGAAACAAAATGACACTGGGGGAATGAAACAGCGTAAGAAGAAGAAAAAAAACAGTTGTGGAGTTTGTATTAAGTGATTTTATAGAAGTTTCAGGTCGTATTATGAATTTGGACGAGCTTGAGGCGAAAATGAGGCAAAACACCGAGCCCCAAATGCACAAACATCCAAAATCTGAAGAGGACTTGACTGCGTTCAATCGATTGGTTAGTTTTTCACTTTTTTTTCTGCAAATTTCACATTTTTGTTTGCAGTTGGCTCACATTTCGGGGAACCACACAGCGTCGGCTAAGACACAACCGATGAGTTTGATGGAGATGCTGTCGCACTCACAGCAACAGGATGAGGCACACGCTCGTATGGCTCAACTTTTAGGTCCATCGAGTCCTGGTTTACAAGTCCAAAGTCAACAACAGAAGGAAATGCTGTCGAAATTGATGAGTGCTAATATGCCAATTCGGGCTTCGCCTTTGTCCGAAATGGGGATACAGCAAAGTCGTGAATTATTGAGTCGACCAGAAGCACAAGCTATACTTCAAGGTAAGTGTGTATGAGGGGGTGATTTCGTATCACACATGGTGTGTTAGTTAAGATTGACGATTATAAAAATTGTAAAGGTCTGAAAATTGGTGACATCACGCCACAACATTTATACCAACAACTGGCGAATCCGGCCCTGCAGCCACGTCATCGTGAGATGCTCGTCACCATATTGAAATTACAGGGTGGGGGTGTAGGACCTAGTCCGAGAGTACTTAGTCCTGTTGCCCCTCATCCTATGTTTCAACAGCAACAACAACAACAACAATTACGTGTTTCGCCATTGCCGCCCAATGGTGAGTCCGCACGGACGCTGATGCTCGACTGTTTTCACGTAGTTCATCTGTTTTTGCTTTCGCTTTGTTGTTTTTTTCTATGTATGTAGACGCTTATAGGTTTTTTTTTCTCTCTATACATACAGGGTGAGTCAACAAAAACAATGTTACATCATTAGCTGATGGCTCACCCTGTATGTTCCAAACACGCCACTTTGCCAACTATACCCTGTATATTGTTACAAGCAGCATACTGTGTGTCTCCAATAATGGCCACAAGTCCAAACACCCTCACTGTACCCGGTGAGTCATCATTGAAATTCTTTCATCCATCAATCCACCGGCACACTAAAAATTTCATTGATCATCCCTGTATACATATAAATTTTTCTAAAAATTTTTATAGCTCTCCATCAACGCATCCCATCACCACGTGAATTACAAGTCCATACACAAAACATTCTACAAAGGGCGTTAATTAAGAAAAAACTCGAAGAACAACAAGAAAACTATCGTAAGAAACAGGAAATGCAACAACGAGGTCAAAGTCCCAGCAACAACAACAATAATAATAATAACACTAATCAAGCGAGTAAAAGTGTTTCGTCTCCGACTCCGTTAGCTTTTACGCCGACTTCAGTATTAAGAAAAATGACAGCGGAAAAAGACGAAGGTTGGTAACACTTCCCTAACAATTTTTCTTCTTCTAATAAKTGTTGTTAGGTGGGAAAGATGTGACGAAACTTGTCGAGGGTGCAAAATTGAGTCAAGGTCGTGCCGTCACTGGAATGCGTCCTCAACCTCAACAACAGCCACAACAGCAACCGCAACAATGGTCACAATATCCGTTGAATATTAAACAAGCTGGTCGTCCGATTGTTAAAGCAAATACATTTCAACCTCCGCAACAGCAACAACAAGAACAATTTTTTACTCAACAACAACAACAGAAATTTTTAAATCAATTGCAACAACAGCGAAAAGCACCCAATTATCATGGCCATGGTTCGATGCAAGGTCATCATTCACAATATTCCAGTACTAATAATCAACAGTTCTCCCAGTTGACTCAACAACAACTCAGAGCTCAACATCAACAGCATGCCAGACCGACGAATGTACAACAACAGCAAGGACACGGGGCGTGGCAACAGTACCTTAATCCGCAACAAAGTAAGTCATTCGAAAATCTCAATATTTTTGTGTTTTTAGCTCAARAATGTGTTTAAACGCGATTTTTCGGCTTGTTTGTCGAAATTTTTGCTAAAATTATTCTATTTTTGGTTGTAAGACGTGWTAAGTTGCTAAGAAAATAGAAAGATATTTTGTTTTCCACCTAATTTGTGATTTTTTGCTCAGTTTAGCGAAATGTTGCAAAAAAAACTGAGTTTTTGACTCAAAACTGTCCTTAAATTCTTGAAATAGGTAAGAATGACACCATTTTTGACCGAATTTCGTGATTTTTTGGCTTATTTTTAACGCAATTTTGCAAAATAATTACGTTTTTATCTGAAAAATCTCTTTGAGAGTTCGAAGAAGACAAAAATAATCGTAGATTAATCTAATTTGGTGATTTTTTTGTTATATTTAAGCGAAATGTTTTAAAAAACTTAAAATTGCATCTCAAAAACTTTTTAATTGTTCGAAAGAGGTAAAAGTAGTAATTTTTTGTCTAGTTTAGTGAAATCTCGCGGAAAAAAACTGAGTTTTGACACAAAACCGTGCTTAAACACTTGAAATAAGTAAAAATAACACCATTTTTGACCTAATTTTGTGATCTTTTGCCTTATTTTTAACGCAATTTTGTGTTTTTACTTGAAAAACGTTTTTACAGGCTCTGAAAAATACAAAAATAATACTATATTTAATTTAATGATTTTTTGATATATTTAACGGAAATTTTGTAAAAAAAACTTGAAATTTCAGCTTGAAAACTTTATAGTTGCTCGAAAGAGGTAAAAGGAGTATTTTTTTTGTCTAGTTCATTGAAATCTCGCGAAAAAGACTGAGTTTTTGGCGAAAAACCGTGCTTAAATTCTTGAAATAGGTAAAAATGACACTATTTTTGACTCAATTTCGTGATCTTTCGCCTTATTTTTAACAAAATTTTGCAAAATAAAAATGTTTTTTGCTGAAAAACGTTTTAAATTTGTAATTTCTCGGTCTAATTTAACAAAATCTAGCAAAAAACTTGTGTTTTTAGGTCACAAATGTGATTATTAAACTCTTAAAATATGCAAAAAAAAATATTTTTTATTTAATTTGATAATTTTTTGGCTTATTTTTAAAGAAATTTTACAGGCGAGAGTTATAATTCTGGCAGAAAAACATCCCTAAACGCTCTAAAAAGTTAAAAATATCAAAGTTATAAATAATACTAAATATTTTTGGCCTAATTTGGTGATTTTTTTATGTTTATAAACGCAATTTTGCCATAAACTTGAATTTTTAACTGAAAAACTTGCTAAACTGCTCGAAAAAGGTAGAAACAATGTTATGTTTAATTTATATTAGTGTTTTTTTGGACTTTGTTGTTGCAAAATAATTACAAAAACATGCTAAAACGCTCGAAAAAAAGCAACGATCATTTTTGATCACTTYAGTAATTTTTGATTCGATTTAGCAAAATCTTGCGAAAAAATTGTGTTCAAAAATGTGTTACTACTATAGTGTGTAATGCGTTACTAAAATAGTATTACTTTGATCTAACTCTCTTACATAATTTGGTAGTTTTTAGGCTTTTTTAATAATTACAAAAACATGCTAAAACATTCGATAGCAGCGATGAGATTCTGATTTTTGATCAGTTTGGTGATTTTTGGTCCGTTTTAGCAAAATCTTGAGAAAAAAATGTCTTTTTTAATTTAATAATTTTTCAGTATGTTTAGGCGAAATTTTGCGAAAAATCTAGAGTTTTTAGCCCAAAAACTCGCTAAATTACTCGAAAATGTAAAAATAATGTCACCTTTGCCTTGTTTGACTTGTTTTTTGGCTTATTTTTAACGAAATTTTGCAAAATAATTACGTTTTTAGCTGAAAAACGTCTTTTTAGTTAAAAATGTAATTTAAATGCTTGAGAAAGACAAAAATAACATATTTTTTTAAATATAATTTGGTGATTGTTTATAATTTTTTAATGTGTTAGGCGAAATTTTGCAAAAAAGCTAGAGTTTTTAGCCCAAAGACTTACTACATTGCCCGAAAATGTAAAATTGATGTCATCTTTGACTTAATTGAGTTATTTTTGGGCTTATTTTTGTTGAAATTTCGCGAAATAAACGCAAAAACAAACGTAAAAAGTAAATAAATGATACAATTTTTGACTTAAATCTCTCAAAAAGTTGAACTTTCTTTAGCTCAAAAGCCTGCTTGTAAAAGGCAAAAATAATGTCATTTTCTACCTGGTTTGATAATTTTTGTCTCAGTTTAGCAAAATCTGATTTTCGGTTTAATCTATTAATTTTTTATATTCTTAATAAACATATTTTTTGTTATAATCTAATAATTCTGTATTTTCTAACACCTTTTTCGTTGCAGATAGGGGTCAGGTGGGCCGCGGGGGCACCGACGGAGACTTGTCGCCGACAAGCAACCAGTTGACTCGTTGGTTTTCGCCGGATTTATTGGAGAGGGCCCGCGTGGGTGAATTACCGAGCACAGCCGGCTTGTCTCAGAATTTACTCAGTTTGGAGGAGATCGAAAGACTTACAGCCCCACCGGTCCACAATTAATTTATATACTCAGTACCTGGCCTGTTCGACTCGTATAGAAATTAGAATTTTTTTGGTGACAAGCATTTAAAGGTTGCAAAAAATCGGTTTGTTACTAATTTTAGAAAGAAAAAAAAAACAATCTCAACGAAAAGAACTCTTACATTTAACAATTTAGTGGCATTATTGTCGTAGATGACGTGTGTCAAATATTATTTTCGTTCAATTAATACTCACGACCGGTGAAATTGCGACAGATTCGATTCATTGAAAATGTAATTTTTTGTAAATAGTCATGAAAAATGATTCAATTGTGATAGTCGTAGTAAGTCGTCGGGTCGGGTTTGTCGCAAAACAGTCGCAGAAGAAGAAAAAATGGTCGATAAAGCTCCAATAGATGTGTCTGTGTCTCAGAACGATGTTCTTTTTGTTTCCGTGTGGGATTTCGGGGAAAWTTTTTTGCTTTGTTTTGGATTCTGATAGCGAGACGTTTCAGTTACGGTTTGATGTTTTAGGAATTTTTCGTTTCATTTTGGTGTTTAATCGGGGCTTTAGACACCGTTCATTGTTTCAAAAGAAAAAACAAAACAAAAATTATATATAATATATACACATTATAAACGTACAATGTAAGAACATGCTGTACTATTGTTAATTAAGTATATATAAGGAACTGATGATGATGATGTTTTTCATTTGTGTTTTTCGTGACAAGGTCGGAAAATGGAAAATTGCATTTTTTTCTCTCTATCTTCTCTCACTCGAGTGTTTAAACGAAATTTCATTGTAAAAGAAACAAAACATTCCGTTCGCGTCGTGTTATTTATTGTCGAAAAAATGTGCTCTTGACTAAATTAGACTCATTTTCGTCTGTTCAAATTACTATTATTTTGTGTTTTGAAGCTTGCATCAATTTTATTTTTAAAAAGTCAATCAAATGTGAATTATGTGAATTACTGACATGCATATTTTGTTTTCAAATCAATAAAACATTCAAACAAAGCCAGATTTTTTAAACACCTGTCGCCAAGTCCTTTTCCCTCAGTATTTATTAAAACAAATTTCTAAACACAGACCGTAATATGTCGATAAAAAAGTTTCCTTCATTTTGTTGCGCCATCAAATTGTGTTAAACAAAACTTCTAGTAGCCAATTATGCTTATTTTCGAAACAATACAAATTGTGTTTGCCGCTTTCGCAAGGGGAAAACCTTAGAGACGCAAAAACACTGATTCGTATTTCTAGTTGTGTCAATTCTAATTTTGGCTATAAATTTTGGAATTATAAGTGTAACAGACAATAAATAATTATCAACAAATACGTTTAAACCGATTTTGCATCTCACTGTTTTTTAGAAATAATTTATTTTCCACTTGACTTTGTGTTTTTCACCAGGTGAAAAAAAGGTTGGTAATAGTTGTCACTAAAATTTTCCAACGCAAATATTTTAGGTTAGAGAGCGGTGAACAAACAAACGAATTATTAGAGCTACAAATTCTGAAAACAGTGCTGAAAAGTGTTTTCAGGCGCTACATTTTTCAGCGCACAATGGCTGACGATGAATACGACAGAAAATTTGAGAATCTCCAGCAGTATATCCCCTTTTTGGAGAGCATGATAGAACAGTTGATGGACCCGAAGAGGAAAGACAAGGAACCACAATTGACGAAAATGGTATCCTTGCATGCGATGATTACGGATAGGAAGAAAAAGTGAGTAATTGGGGCCTTGCATGGGGGCTGCGTCGGGGGTGACCCCGACAAGCCAACGTAGACAATTCGGGCCGTGTAAATTGTATTAAAAATTTGGCGCGAATTATTTTTTTTTATTCAATTTATTAAACACCCAAAATTCAATTAATTAATTGTGATTTTTTTAGGTTAAAAATGAAAACTTTAATCAAATGTGAAGAAGTAATTGTAAAATTATATGACAAAGCTGTGAGTACAATCACTGTCTTAAAAACAATTCAAAATTGCTTTTTATTTTGTAGAAATCAAGTGGTAAACTTCATTTATCTCCAAGTCCACCTTCAGCGTTGACCAAAAAAATACCAGAGGGGTTTGTCCATTTTCTTTACTATTTTTCTAAACTAATTGCATATTTTTAGTCAACCTTCTGGTAGTTGTAGTGATAATAAACCTAGAATAGAGATTCCAGAACAATTGAAAGCGTTTCAAGATTTACCAACGAGAAAACCGGTGTCTTTTTCTATTACCAAACCAGTTAAAGTAATAAAAGGAGCCTCTAGTATCTTTAGTGAAAATCAAAATTTGGAAATAAGAAGAAATTCAAATGAGAAATCTGTATCTAACACAGAAGATAAAGATACAAAACCAAGACGTGAAAAAATACCAGAAGGGTTTGTCCATTTTCTTTACCATTTTCCTAAACAAATTGCATATTTTCAGGCATTTGAATCAACCTTCTGCTAGTTGTAGAATAGAGATTCCAAAAGAATTGAAAAAGTCTACAAATTTAACAAAGAGTGAAAATAAGGTTAAACATGTGTCTTTTTCTACTACTAAACCAGTTAAAATGGCGAAWGAAACCACCCGTAGCGTTGGAAATAATCAAATTTTGGAAATGAGAAGAAATTCTAATGAGAAATCAAGTCATATGAGTAACCATAAGTTAGATAATACAAAACCAAAACATGAGTCAAATAGTAAAGAAGAGACAGTTAAGGCTAGTGAAGCAAAAACCGAAACGGTTTATCAACGACTAACCGACAAATACAATCCTAAACCGAAAACACCTCTTCTACCAACTCCCCTCCTCAATAAACCAGCAGTTGTACCGAGAATACCTCTACTACCAATTCCTCCACATCCCTTCATCTTGAATAATCCAGCGATTGTACCTCAAATCCTCCCTAGCATTCCTTTACCCCAAATTCTCTCTAATGTTCTTTCTTTCATTAATTTGACCAACGAAAAAATAGATAATCAAAAAACACTTCCACTACACATTGGTGCTCCACCCATCTTGAATTTCATTAACAACACGGTGATTGAAAATAAACCAAATTTTTCTCTCAATCTATCAAAACCTGAGGTACAAGTAACCAACGATGAACAATTAGAAAAACCTATAAACAACACAGAGCTTAAAGAGAAACTTAATCATTCTCTCAATCAAGTTACCAATGATGAACAAGTAGAAAAACTTATAAAAAAAAGAAATCCTAACAAACAACAACGGACGCGTATCAGACTCCTACTGAAACAACAGAACAAGAATTCCTGTTGTGTAACTCCAACACCTCTAAAAGATCTGAAGTTGGACAATTCCCAAACAACTCCACAAAATTCTAGGGACCCGAGGTTGGAGAAGAGTTGTAATTCTTCAATTCCAACTGATCCTCCAYCAATCTTGAATTTCGTTAATACAGASCTTAAAGAGAAACCTAATTTTTCTCTCAATCAACCAAAACCTGAGGCACAAGTTACCAATAGTGAAGAAATGGAAAAACCTAAGAAAAAAAAACGTCCTAACAGAAGGCAACGGAAGGTTAATAGACTCCTACGGAAACAACAGAACGAGAATTCCTGTTTTCCAGTTCTAACACCTCCAAAAGACCTGAAGTTGGACAAAAGTTGCAATTCTCCAACACCTCCACAAGACTCGAGATTGAACAAGAGTGACAATTCTCCAACACCTCCAACAGTCTCTAGAGACCCAAGGTTGAACAAGAATTCCGATTTGTCACCTCCACAAGACTCTAGAGACCCGAATTTGAACAAGAGTGACAATTCTCCAACACCTCCAACAGTCTCTAGAGACCCAAGGTTGAACAAGAATTCCGATTTGTCACCTCCACAAGATTCTAGAGACCCAAGGTTGAACAAGAATTCCGATTTGCCACCTCCACAAGACTCTAAAGACCCAAGGTTGAATCGGAATATAGTATATGACCAGAAAGAAAAYACCTTGTATGAACCAAATGTTACGGACTCGAAACCTAGYACAAGTACAGTAAAAGAAAGTGAAGATGTTGTTTCAAGTAGTGTCTCACCTTCTWTCGAGTGCAAATGTAAAATAATTGAGAGTCTCAAAGAGGAAAATGYCGGAGTTGGTGAAATATCCTCAACCAATGACATTCAAGAAAACCACTCAAAACCTGAAGATGAGACCGAGATTATTAATAAATTCTTGATGAAACATTTAGAGRATGAACGCACTCGAAGCATTACATCAACTTTTATCAAAAATTTGACTAAAACGATCGGTGACGAGCAATTAAAAATGGTAGTGGAGAAAGTTAATACGTWTCGTGCAGAAGAAGAAGAAAAACGTCGATTAAAAAAGAGAAAAATTAAACAAAAAAGAATATTGTTGAGGAGGCGAAAGAGGAGAGAAATGCTTATGAAGATTCGCAAAAGGGAAGAGAAGAAGAAAGAGGAAGAATTAGTCGCTGTGAAGAAGAAGAAGAAATCTAAATCCAAATCCGAACTCGATTTGCTTCACGAAGACATCAATGGGATGTTTATAAGAGATGAAATTATGCGAGCGACTGGTCCAAGAAGTTGTCGATTGACGAAAAACGCACCACAACCTGAAACTGTCGATGAAAAGAGTAAAATTGCGCTGAAAAATACACCACAACCTGAGACTGTCGATAAAAAAAGCAAAATTGCGCTGAAAATTACACCACAACCTGAGGCTGCCGATGAAAAAAGCAACATTGCGCTGAAAAATACACCACAACCTGGGACTATCGATAAAAAAAGCAAAATTACGCTGAAAAATGCTCCACAACCTAAGACTATCGATGAAAAAAGCAAAATTGCGCTAAAAAATTCACCACAACCTGAAAAATGCAATTTTGATTCTAAAATTAGTTCAGAAGAATTGAAAGAAATGATAAATGTTAGAGTGCTTCTACCTAAAATTTCGGTTAAACTTGACAACAAAACCGTCAGTGGTGAAGAGAAAGAAAAGTCAAGTGAACGAAAACGGGCAAAATCTCCTGATGTTGTTCCGAAAGCGAAACGTCGAAAAATTGAAGAAGAGAAAATCACCAAACAAACGGAATTTACCGAACCCGATAAGGATTACTTTTGTTCGCAATCTGTTAACTTCAAGTTGGCTTGCAAGCTTTGTGATTTCTTTGGGAATAATATAACTAGACATTATCGCATTAAACATCCCGAATCGGAAGTTTTATCATCGAGATTACGACCWGATAAGGCCAAACAAGCGATAAAAGACTCACTTGAATTCAAATTGGACGAAACTGAAGAAGTGACTGTTGCTTCGTCACGACTWTATGCTTTTAAATGTCGTTTCTGTGACGTTGAAATGCAAACAACACAYTCAAATTTTTTCGATCATATTTCAACCCATACAGGAGAATACCGACATTTGTGCACTTTGTGCTCGTTTTCTGTGAGCACACGAAGGGCTCTAAGAAATCACTGTGAGAAGAATCACAAGAAAAACTATTATCCGAGTGTAGTTTGGATTAGGTCAAGAATCTATGGTTATATTTGTCTCGAGTGTAATTTTGTTCAAACAAATCGAAAGACTGTTGAAAATCACGTCAATGTTTATCATTTAGAAGAAGGCAAGAAGATAATGAAGATACACTTATCGACGTATGATGATACTGCTGTTAGGTTGAAGAATGAGGCTGAAGGAAGAATCCAAATTCTTGATGAAGATAGCGACAAGACAGTTAGTGAGGAAAATATGCTAGTTGAAGAAGAGAAGACTGAAGAACCGCAACCCAAACCAACGGAAACGGAAAAGACACCACTTTGTGAAGACAGTGGGATGAAAAGTGTGATTGAAGAACCGCAATCTAAACGAAAGAAAACTGAATTGCTGGACGACAAGAAAGAATCACAATCCAAACCAGAACCTTTAAAAATAATAGAATCACCAAAAACTGTAATGGGGAAGCTTCAAGGTGAAGAACAGAAAGATATTGAGATTGAAGAACCGCAAACTGAAGAAATGAGCAATCGGATGCTTGACAACAAGAACGACGATTCGGATTCGGATGTTGTTTTCGAGAATGAACCTGAATTACAATCTTTACCAAAGACTACAAATATTGAAGAACAGAAAGATGAGACCCAAGAACTTCAGTCTAAAGGACTGAAAATAGAAGAAACTGAAGATTCAGATTCGGATGTTATTTTTATCGAGAGTGAACCAGAACCTTTAAAAATAACTATAATGGAGAAGCTTCAAGGTGAAGAACAGAAAGATATTGAGATTGAAGAATCGCAATCTGAACGACTGGAAGAAAGTGAAGAAATGAGCAAGCTTGACAATAAAGAAGATTCGGATTCGGATGTTGTTATAGAATCACCAAAGACTATAAATGTTGAAGAAGAGGAAGATGAGATCCACGAACCTCAATCTAAACGAATGAAAACAGAAATAAGTGAAGATTCAAATTCGGATGTTATTTTTGTCAAGAGTGAACCTTTACAAGTTATAGAATCACCAAACGTTGTGAAGCTTCACAAGGAAGGTCCACCTGCGTTGTCTCCTCTTGTAGAGACAAAACCAAATCATTGGATTTATAGCATCATCCGTGCTGGATTTTTAAACATTAATAAATACGAAGATGGGCTTGAGTATGTCTGTAGAGTCCCTTCGTGTCTCTTTTCAACTCGAGTTCGCGACAGGTTTGTGTCCCATTGGGACGAAGATCATACTCGAATCAATGGTTGTTATAAAATGACCAAATGTAAGATCTGTCAAGTTGATATCAAAGCAACACTTGATTCACCTCTTTTGACCACTTTTTTCACACATGTTGAAACTAAACACTTGGAAGCAGAAAGCTCACCTCCCGTTTTACGTATCCGTCGCTTAAGCGGTGATAAACTCTCAAGAAAGGAAGAGGAAGAAACTGAAGAGGAGAATCCTTTCGGGATTAAAATTGCCGGTATTGTGTCACTCGCCGAAAACGAGAAACGTTCAAAAGAAGAAGAAAAAATGGAACGTGTGGTCCTTAAAGAATTCAAATTGTCACAAATTGAGAAAGCAACAAAATGGAAGTCAAAAGAAGCAATGAAAACATTTTTGGAATGTCCAGAAGCACTATACAAATGTCCACAATTCTTTTGCAAGTTTGCAACAAGTCGAAGACGATTGTTTGATGACCATATTACAATGCACTTATCTTCGAAAGAACAACTTCTGTGTTGTGTCTATTGCGATGTTAAAACACCTCTAAACCAAGCAAGTCTCCATATTGGTTTAAGACACTCGAATTGTCTCTATTCGTGTTCAAAATGCTTATATCGTGCCCTAAAACCCGAGTATGTGATGGTACACATGAAAAATAAACATCCTAACGATGATAACATAGTTGCCCTATCACCAAAACAATCAATGGTTAATGCAAACAATAAACAAAAGAAATTTTCGGTGAAAAAAGCATGTCCTCCTTATAAATGCGGTTCTGAAGGTTGTGTCATTTCCCTTTTTGTGTTTTGTTTCTTATTTTGGTTTTTCTAGGTTGTACATCGGAGTTTTTTTTTATTGATGAGTACTGTGACCATGTCATTAAGAGTCATGAGGGTTTGATGACTTGTGGTTATGAAACCGATAAAATGAAGAGTGTTTTCAAGTGTGCATCGGTTGAAAGTTTGATTGATCATTACAAGTCACACAAGTGTTACCCTTTGCATTGTCTTTTGTGTAAAGGAGGTAGTGATGAATTGTATGGTATCCTCGAGCACTACTCCTTGCGTCACCCTAATAAAAATCCAGAGGTGGTTGATCGAAGAAATAGCCCCAAAGAGGCAAAAGAGGGACTTTACTACTACTACAATGATGAAGCTGTTGAGAAAGTGAGGCGTGTCTCAGTTGATGAAATTTTATCAACTGTTGAAGGGAGACAGTTCAAGGTGGTACCAATAGACCACCCAAAAAAGAAGGTTGATGGTGGAGAGTCCAGTGTGGTACCACTGGACAACCCCAAAAGTCTGAACGAAGGTTCAGATGTTGAAAGTTTGGGTTTAACAGGACGCCAACTGTACCGTTGTGCCTTTTGCAATTCATCATTTTCGAACGATTTCGGTTTTACATTACATTTTCAACAATCGAAAAAGTGCAAGAAAATCAAACCGTTGGAATGTGTGCATTGTGAGGGGAAATTTCCAAGTGTCACGTCATTAGATCAACATATTCAGTAYCATGGCAAATTGAGATTTCGATGTTCACTTTGTATAAATCGCTTTCCTTGGTTGCATCAGTTGAAGTAAGTCAGTTTTATGCAGTTGGTAATTCTGAATTGTTATAATTACAGGTTGCATTTGAAAGTTCAGCATAATGTGCGTAATTCGAGGACAATTCCAGTAATCCCCAATAAGACTAATTTCGAAAAGGATGAGTTTGTTCTAAAACAGGTGTCTAACGATGGACCAGAAAATGTTTATCAGCCTTATCAAATCGACGATTTGCTACACGATTCTACCTCTAGTTCGGAGTTTAAGTGCGCTGTGTGTGACCACACTACCAAAGCCAAGGCTAGTCTAGTGCGACATTTGCAATCACATACAGAGACAACACTGGGAAATTGACTTGTCTCGAGCAAAATGTTTAATTTCTTGGCGACTTTCTAAGCCTAGTTGAATTTTCCTTTTAATAAAACTGCATTATGTACCAAAAAATAATTATTTAAAGCACTTAATCTAGGTCAACGGTGTTGTGATCCTAGATTTTTTAGATGAAAAACCAATAGTTTTTAATAATTATAATTACGGGACAAGAAATCATGTCATCAATTTCAAAAGTTTCAGTTGATGTCGKTAATGTAGATTTCCTTTTTTACAACTCAGCAATTGTCAGTTGTCATTCCTTAATGACCTGTTTTRTTTCCTTATTGTGCGATATAATTATAAKATGTAATATAATACAGTATAATTTCTTGTATATCACAATTATGTCTCATAAAAAATTGCACTAGTTACAAATAACAATAAACATAACCTTTAAAACAACTTGCACCCACCTAAATACGGGGGCTGCTTATAAAATATTTTAAATTCGTTTTGTTCWGATGACCTGAGACCACGTTGTCTTACATTCGCCCTAATCAATAAATGCGTTTATTTCGGACTCTACAGCACTTGGAGTAAAAACCAAGAAAACGAAATCTGGTTATATTTAATTAGGTATTTCCGGAGCATTTCACTGGTAATTGAGAATGCTTTACATAAAAAACACATTACTTATAAAAAAAGGAAAAAAAAACAACTTACACAACGAAAAAATTCAAAAGTAAAACATCAATAAGAGAAAAAACAACTTTTTATTCACTTGAGTGTAGCTGGCTGTGAAAAACAATTGACAAAATGACAGTTACGACAGAAACCTTAGCCTACTCTATTTAATTATTCAAGGAAATAACCAGAGATAAGGTAAGACCTTACSTTGTCTCTGGAAATAACCCAGCAAAACGCCGTTCTTATCAATTATCGATTACATAACCAAAATTCCAGAATGTTCCAAGTCCGGTCCTGTCACCCTAATGTCACTTGTCATTTCTTCGTATTAAATATAATAACGATTTTACCCAAAACCGTTTCCACACCTATTAAAATCATAGAAATCAAGCATTACATAACAATATGTTAACGATATTATCAAAAAATGATAAGAAAAGCACATAATTCGTTTCTAAACTCGGCTTTAATAAAATTTGGGGTTAAAACATGGTACAGAATCGTTTATTTTACGTTTTTACACCAACCACTAGTTAACATTTTTTGCTCGTGAATCAAGCTACCACGCTGCGAACAATTGACTGTTCCGCAGCCGCCCGACTTCGAGTTATTGACCCTCGTTCGCCTTCGGTCGTTTCCGGCGCAACATTCTCGTCAGTAAAAGCGAAGGCAGCGGTGAGATTAATGAACGTCGTTGTTGTGGCACTAAAATCAACAATTTTAAGAAAAATTCACGCTCTATGTGTTGAAAATGAGTGCAGATATATCCCAAAAGGCATGTGAGTCAGTTTTTCGTCGCGAATGTTGTGTTTAAAGGCGCTGCACGTTGCGGCAAGTCGAAGTATTAAACGAGGTTTAATGTGCTTGTGAACAAGATGGCCGACGACGAATATAACAGAAAGTTGGAGAGTCTCCAGCAGTATATCCCTTTTTTGAACAACATGATAGTGCAATTGAAGGACCCCAGGAAGAAGAATCGGGAACAACAACTCACGAAGATGATGTCGCTGCATTCGATGATTACGGATAAGAAGAAAAAGTGAGTAGTTGGGGTTAGGGGTGGGGTCATTTAAGGCAGAAATGTCTATTTTGATGCATATTCAGAAGATGCAGGTAGGTGGCGTGTGTACTTGCAAGCAACAAATAAAGTGACCAGCGATTTTAAWATTGAGTTGGCAACAATGAATATACCCAACGCCAACTTAATTTCAATACCACAGGCCACTTTGATTAGAATAGTAGGTATATTCTGTAACAAATTTAGAATAYAACATATTCCACTCAAGTAGAAAAGTTCAAGTGACGGTTCTATGGGGGCGGAATATGTCATTCCAAACGAAGTGTAAGAATTTTCTCACACAGTTTTAATGAATATGAGTATTCTGTAATTTAGTATCAACCAAGAAGATTGTTATTCTATAATAGAAATAGTACATTACAAGCGAGGTGGTAAATATGGCATTACCTCGAGTAATTGTGTATACGATCGAGAGGCGCCAGCCATTACCACTGAGGTTTGTATGCGATTTTATTCACAATCACATTATTTTCAATCGAAAATTTGAGTAAAATGAAATTCTAACAAAATTAAAGTTCAAACGTGGTAAGCCATCCAAATGGCGTTTGATTTTTGACATTTTATAAATGTCAGAAAATTTTGAGATAATGTGTGAAACTGATTTAAAATCGTCGAAATGGAGCAGTRTAAGAGWAACTTCTACAAAAGCAATTGAATACTAATTTAGCAAAATATTATGCGTAACTGACACTTTGAAAGAAACAATTCCCGGTATTTTTGTAATTTTAAAGGTGGATATTATCGCCCAAGAGAAGTAATATTATTACTCCTCATGAGATTTAATAATGTGTTTCCCAACCTTTAAAAGTAATCGTCATATTACATTAGTGATTGTGATTGTGAAAAGTTATTTACAGTATAGATATTACGAGGGCAATCCAAAAAGAAATCTACCTAGTTATGAAATAAAAGAAGGTCACAAGTTTTGGGATAAAATTTCATGATAATTGCTTCATTTGTTACAATTTGGCAAAGAATATTTTGCAAAAAACCAGAAATGAAAGCAACTGTTTTCCATTTAAATAACGGCTATCCTCCCAGAAAGGCTAAAGCTCATTAGGGAAAAAGCTAATGGCGARCTATTTTATGATACAAGAGAAATATTAATAATGRCRAAAGTATCTACCTATTATTGGAGTTATATGGAAAGACCGTTTAAAAGGTTAAAATGCCTCTGGAAGAAAAGAARACTGTTTGTCATTCTTTAAAAAATATATWTTTTCTTTYGTTWATACAGGCGAGCAAAAAAAATTTCTGGTACTTTGAACACTTCTGTGTGAAATAGCCTCTATAAGTGCARGTGTTATGTTAATTTAYCATTAAAAACATCTGTCACAAAGACAGATAAGCGCAGATYACTTCGTCTTTTTTWAAATGAGGTTTAAGTCAGTGCCTGAAATAATGGGACTGGAGGATGTTATCTTGAAAAATAAAATGTTGTTTAAAGTTTGTTAGTCCTCTAGGTAGATTTCTTTCTGAGTCATCTTTGTTTGTATTGGTGTTATCGTTCATTGCACAAAGGAATACTGATTTGTTGATTTTTTGCGTCGTTATTGGTCAAGAAAGAAGAATTTTTAATAAGTGTACAGAAACGACCAACAAAGAAGAAAAAACCGCAAAACAACCATGAGAACCTATTTTAAATTTAAAAAAAAACGGCAGTGGAATTGCTGTGATTTAAGTGTTTCCAGCAATAGAGTGTTGTATAAATATTGACTATAGTACCTTAAGAAATTCCTTCAATCTAGATTATAGTTACAAATTTTTTATTGTGGCCAGAGAAAAAGTCAATATTTTTTCTGAGTAATAAAGAATAAAATAATCAAATTTGTTAATTGCCAAAATTGCAAGTCTAAATTCGAAGGTAGTTTATTAAATGTAAAAAGAAAAGTACAAGGTGATTCAGGAGGAATAATTAGTCTGACAAAATTCTCGATGCCCATTACACTTTTGTATGTTGCTTTGCGACACTTTTAAAAAAATTGCCATTTGAATCTGCGATGCCTATTATCATGATCAATCACCGTCATTGTCATTTTTGACAAACGCTACAAATTTATCATTAACTGAGCAAAATGTGGACCATAGAACACCATGAAGACTTATTCCAATGATGAGAAGACTGACATGATTTTAGCTTATGGAGAATGTTCGAAGAATGCATCTCTTGCTGCCCAATGATATCCCTAAAGAAAGAGCATTTTTTGACACCATYAGGTTAGTTTTGAGAAAACTGTTAAGTTATCAAAGCGAATGGTACCACTGGATGAAGCTTGTAATTTGTATTTTAATATACCCATTATTGTGTTGGTATTTCAGTTACTTCTGTTTTTTTTWAATTTTTATGTCAAAACTGACAAATTGTACGTATGCTCGCTATAATTTCATATTTATTACAAAAAATCTTTGAAATCTACCTGACCTATGAAAATGTAATGTTGGTTGCATCGCGAATTTGGTCAGGCTCATTATTCCTCGTGAATCGCACGAGTAATAATAAGCCTGAAAGTTTTTTTGAAGCAACCATTTCATAGATAACGTGTATATTAAAATATTTTGTTTTAATTAGTTAAATATCTATGAAATGTAATGATGGTTGCTTCAAAAAAAGTTTCAGACTCATTATTACTCGTTGGACACCCCCTGTATATAATGTAAGAACATAACAGAAGATTAAAAAAATATATATTTATTTTTTGCGGAACGAATGTTTAGAGTTATTTCTCAGGAAGAAGGATCTTTAAAAAAGCTATACAAAAAGTATATCATAAGAAATCAAGGAAAAAAGATACAGTCAAAGCTGGAAAGAACAATAGAATTGCTGTGTAAATTAAGCTGAAATGTTGTTAACTGTCTTAAAAATTCTTTAACAACTTTTTAAGTGTATCTAATGGGAATGGAAGAATTAATGTTTTATCTCTAAAATAAGTAATAAAATAGCATTATCTAAGAAAGAAAAATATTGAAAATGTTACATAAGTGAAAAACTAAAAATAAATTATACTGAAATTAGTTGGAACAGATTTGTTTATAACCAAAACTTGATCAGAATGTCAAAATCAAAATACTACATACATAATCTTAAATAAATTATAAAAAATGTGTCTGATTGTTTAATAGGAAGTCTCTCAAAGTTTTTGTTTTAAACAAAATTTATTTATAATATTTATTTATATTTATATCAATCTAGCCATCAAAACAAATGAAAATTCTGTTAATATTTTGAAAGTAAACGAAAATAAAGCTTTTCAGTTAATCTTTTCTATTGCATTTTTATTAATTATTACTCACTGTCTCTTTCATATAAATAGAGATGAAGTACGAGATTTCTAAGCTTTCTGAAATATTCTAAAACTGAGTGTAACCATAGTCCTAACGCTTCTATCTCTTTCTGCATCATTGATTCGTAGAGTGCATAATTCTATCAGCTTGTGGTCTTTCTCTAACGCACACATAAAATGAATTAGCACTATAGTACAAGGGTGTGGGTTCAATGCCATCATAAAGAAATAATTCACAAACTGTTTAGTAAACGTGCATACAAAAATATAAGAATATAAGAGAAAAAATTTGCTATATTGTTATTTTTAATAAATAAATGTTTTGTTTACGAACTATTTGAGGATTTCATCTCACTTTATTGGTGTATTTAACTGAAATAACACCTAGGGGATAAAAGGTTCTTGTTTCAATTTTACGTGTGCTCTGGTGAACGAGAGAAACAACTAATATCAATTTCGCCCTTCTTCAATTGTTCTGAAAGCTTGGAAATTTCGTAGTGTACAAAAAAAACTCTCTTTGAGATGTTAAAAAAAACTAAAAATAGATAAGCTAAATACTGTGTTTCAGATTTCTTTATAATAAATATTAATTTTTAATCCTATCAACTTGATTAATATATTTCTGGTTTACAATACATACAAATATGTCATCTTAAATCAATTCTAAGAA